ACTATCCACCATGTTAAGTTTACGTGTACCTTTTAATAATGATTTCTATTCCCCATATGTACTCCCCTGTTGTTTTTCTTCTCTTCTTTTCCCTCCTGTCAATTGAAGACCCATATGGACTGATAGTGAAGATAGCAAGGATGACGTACATGTTACTAGTGTATCTATTCTAACTATGATATGGCTGTTGGTGAAGGGCATGAATAGTGAAAAGAGGGAAACACTGATAATGCAACACTTTCCATGGATTACGTAGTGGATAAAAGAAAAGGAAAAGGAAGAAGAAATGAAAGTTAATAGAGCTGCAATTACTTTATTACGACTAAGCTCTTAATAGGCAGGACTGTGTGTGTGTACATGAGTTATGCCTCCAGTCCGTAGTAATGTAGTTAGTTAATAAAGCCACTTGATTTTCATCACTGTATGGGACTAACTGCAGTACCATTGATGTCCCACCTATAATCCCCAAACCGAAGTTCCACACCATGCAGTGAAAAAATGATAATGATGTGTTTGTAGATGACACTAATAAGTATCGTTATTAATACTATTGTTCTTCTCTCTTCATCTAATATGTCAACACAAAATACCTTCCTTTATATGTCTAAGCTGCTCACATGATGAAAGTTCACGTAACTATTTGTTTTTGATTCTTTCTTACAATGCACGATGTAGTGTTAGAACCAGATAAAGAAACATGTATACAATAATGATCAAATTTGTTCTTTATTAATACTTATCAGTGGATACGTGATTTGAATTTTAATAGTAATCCTACTTGTTTATATTTGCCATTCTAACAACTATAATGATAAATTGTTGCTCTCTATTTCTTTTCTTTTTCATAACATGACGCACCATAAATAAACAACAGAGCCAAACAATCACTATGCGCACAACTCTATTGTTAACCTTGCTACTGATACTCTCCTGCATCTGTACATGTGCAGCAGCAGAGAGGATGCCACTGCCGGTGCCACGTGTGGGTGGATACGCTACAGAGGCAACAGGAAAA